AAACACCAGACACACTGGTTCCTGTTGTTGAATGCACGTACACTCTTCTGACAAATGACAAGAATGATGAGAGACACCAGTGGCCTTTAACTCAAGGAGGAGCTCGGCCAGAGTGGGGCAGGTGAATTGCAGGGTCTGAGGAGGAATTCCCACAGGCTGAGGGTTGTGTGGGGCCCAAGCTGGATTCATTCCCAGACCCTCTCCTAGCTCTGTCTGGGAGAAAGAGCTCTTTACTTTCTAGAATGTTCCTCCACTTAGCTACCCAGCTGTGGTCCTGGACACACACTTTGGCTTCAGAAAATCTTCCTTTTCACATTTTCATGCCACACTGGAGCAAGATTCCACGTTTGGATGATAGCAGGCATTCTGTGCTCCATGACTTTACCAGCATCGCAGCCCGGCCACATGTGGTCAGTATCATTCAAGTATGACCTATCCAGGGAGTGTGATGGGGCTGGAGCCTTAGCAGACCACAGAGATCACAGTGGGGGCAGAGGACTTTTAGGGGTCCTGTGAAATTAGGCAGTAAGTACTCAGCGTCAGTTTCCATTCTGTATCGCCTAATGATTCCAAGGCAGAACATACCCAGTTCTGCTCCCTAAACATCTTGGAGGCAATTATCTCTCCTGATCCCCATTTTTTTTTTTTCTTGTTGAGCCTGGAGTTTGGGTGGGTTGCTTACGCAACCCAAACTATTCCAAAATCTTGTTCTCACATCTCCACGAGCATGACTTGGTCAACAGTCCTTCCCAGCTCCTCCCTGATTGCCCTCCAGCCTTGGGACGCTAGAACGGGCTCCAGAAGGAGCATCCAGTCACCTGATCTGAGTTCTGGGCAGGTCACTTAATCCTCCCCACCCTGGGTAATTACTGACACTCATTCTTCCTATCACTTGGCTGAGGCCCAGCACTCAGCCTCCTCAGCCAGCCTTCTGCCTCCTCAACCGGAACAGCAACCCCACTGACGGCTGCAGGTTTCATTTATATTTAATTTTTTTATACTTAAAAAATGTTGGGGCGTCTGGGGGGCTCAGTTGATTAAGCGTCCAACTTCGGCTCAGGTCATGATCTCACAGCTTGTGGGTTCGAGCCCCGCGTCGGGCTCTGTGCTGACAGCTCAGAGCCTGGAGCCTGCTTCTGATTCTGTGTCTCCCTCTCTCTCTGACCCTCCCCTGNGTCTGACTTTGACTCAGGTCATGATCTCAAGGTTGGTGGGTTCGAGTCCCTGTCGGGCTCTGTGCTGACAGCTCAGAGCCTGGAGCCTGCTTCTGATTCTGTGTCTCCCTCTCTCTCTGACCCTCCCCTGCTCATGCTGTCTTTCTCTCTCTCTCTCTCAGAAATAAATAAAACGTTAGAAAAAAATTTTTTAATGTTTATTTTTGAGAGAGAGACAGAGACAGAGAGACAGAGACAGAGACTGAGCACAGAGAGCAGGGGAAGGGCAGAGTGAGGGGGACAGAGGATCCAAAGCAAGATCCACGATGTCAGCACAGAGCCCGATGTGGGGCTTAAACTCACAGAACTGTGAGATCATGACCTGAACTGAAGTTGGACGCTTGACCGACTGAGCCGCCCAGGCACCGCGCAGCTTTCATTTTTAAACTGAAAATTAGGGAGGAGCTGTTTTTCACCCTCTGCTGCTCAGTTCCTGGAAGAGACCTGACAAGAACAAAGCTGGATTCCCAGAGCATTTGGTTCGTGTTTAATTCTTGTACCATATTCTTTCTGATTTATAGTGAGAAAAAGGATTTACTTCCGGAGTTGCCTCTTCTGTTAACTTCTGATTCTCACCGGCTGTGAGGCTGGCTGGTAGCCTTCACCATGGAGCAAATATTTCTGTTCTAGGCACTGAAGACACAGTGATGAACAAAACAGCTAAAATCCTGATGAACCAAACAAATAAAAATCATACCCTAGTAGACATGCAGAAAGTGCCCAAGACAAGCAAGTAGAATATATAATGTGTAGGAAAATGATCATTGTTAAGGAGAAAAATATAAAGCAAGGAAGGGAGGGGCACCTGGGTAGCTCAAGCATCTGACTTCGGCTCAGGTCACGATCTCATGGTTTGTAAGTTCAAGTCCCACATTGGGCTCTCTGCTGCTGACAGCTCAGAGCCTGGAGCCTGCTTCGGATTCTGGGTCTCCCTCTCTCTCTGCCCCTCCCTAGCTCATGCTCTGTCTCTGTCTCTCTCAAAAATAAACACTAAAAAAAAAAAATTAAAAATCTATAAAGCAAGGAAGGGAGACATGAGGTGTCCATGAGGGGACAGGAGGCCCAATATTTCAGACTTGACAAGTGGTCAGTAATTTTCCGTGTGATTTTGGATCAGTCATGTGACTTGTCTACACTGCTCTTCTTTGTGTTGTTGAAGGGGTTAATTCTATGTGGAGGATGCAGTGTCCTGCACGTAAGCATATGGAAGGGACTTGATAAATATTTTTGAATGGAATATCTAATGCTTTACACACTCAAGGCATAAAGAAGAGGAGAGTGATGTTTTAAAGGTAAATTGCAGATTCTTGAATTCAGACTCCTCCTCTCCCTTTTCTTCAGATGACAAGTAGCCATGGAATATTCCAGCATTCCTCAGCGCTGTCTGTGGGTCCTGAATGTTCTTGGTTTGTTCTCAGACTATAATTTCAACAAGGGAATATTCCACATACCTTCTTCTTCTTTTTTTTAAAATAACACCGAGAGCACTGTTATGTAATAACCTCTCTATCCAAAAAAAGGCTGGAGGAAAAGGAAAGGGAAGAGTAGTAGTATGGTTGTTGCTATTATTATTTTGGTCACTGCACTTATTGGCTGATCCTGAGCCTTCCATACAGAAGGGTGTTAACAGGCTATGGTTACACTCAAAACTCAAAGTAACCCTGGGATTACTTGGCTGTGTGTCTTTAGGTAAATGAGTCACTTCTCTGGCTCTCCTCACTGTCTAATACATGTGGCTCTCAATATCAAACAACCTTTGGGACTTGTTAGGCAAAAAGTACAAGGGAATAATTTAAAATCACTCAGTCAATAATGCCAAGTGGTAATAACAATAAAGAGAAAGTTTCCCTCTGCGTCCTGTCCAGAGTTGAGTGAGAAGCTCTCTGCCTCAGTGGTCTGATCTCTGGGCTAGGGTTTCCAGGTCAAATACATGCTAAATTTGAATCTGAATTTCAAATAAACAAGATTTTGTTTTATTTTGTTTTGTTTAAGTATGTTCCAAATATCCCACTTAGAATCTTCTAAGATTCCAGAGCTTAGAGACTCCCTCCAGACCATCTGGCCAGGGAAGGCAAGCTCAAATGTCTAGAGGAATCAGAAAGGTGATTTCTGGATTTTTATGTGAAATCTTCCTATTTTTATTTATTTTTTATTAAAAAATTTTTAATGTTTATTTATTTTAAGAGAGAGACTCACACACAGACTTGCAGAGCAGGAGTGGGGGAGGGGCAGAGAGACAGGGAAATACAGAATCTGAAGCAGCTCCAGGCTCTGAGCTGTCAGCACATAGTCTGACATGGGGCTTGAACCCACAAACCGTGAGGGCATGACCTGAGCCGAAGTTGGATGCTCAACTGAACCACCCAGGCGCACTGAAATCTTCCTATTTTTAAATGTTCGCCACACATTCAGTTAAAAAAGCAAAAACAAAAACCCACTGTGTGAACCAAAGGAAATAGTGCTCTGGCCAGTTTATAAACTATGATGATGCCAAAACCTTTCAACCATTATACAGATTAGGAAGTAAAGCCTCAAGAAGACAGGGGTCAGCGAAGCTACACAGCTAAGATTTCTCAAAAAATAACAGAACAATTATCTTGGGAATGGTGAAGAAAGAGCCAGGACTGGAGCATTCTATGGAAGGTGTAGTCACTTCTGTCAGCTTATGGGTCTTTGAGAATATTCTTCAAGTTTAGCAGTTGAAATCACAGAGACTCAAGAAAGACAAAAGTGTCACCCTCTGCCTAAAGCACACAGGTAGGTCTCCACAGGTGAGTTGAGGGCTGTGTTTCACTTCTGCTTTGATTTACATGATAGACTCCCCAAACTCCCTTTAGGATCCTAGTTAAGATAAACTCCAAATCCAGTTTTCTGCCTCATAATCAGAATGGAGACAGGAGGCCAGGCTGAGTGCCCAGACTTTTAACTCTGTGCCCACAAATACAGAAGGGGTGTACATCTTCACATGGGAAGGATGTTCTAAAAGGCGTGGACAAAGGTTTTGAAGGGATAAGGATGGGATCTAAAGCTGTGCATCGGGAAGGAAAGGAAGGGCAGAGACATAACAAATATTTATCGAGAGCCTAGTGCGTGCCATGCACTGCGAGCGTGTGGCATAGAACTCTTTCCCAGCTCTTGGCAGGTCTGAATATAATTCTCATTTTTCAGGTTTCAGCTCAAACATCACTTCCTCGGAGAGTACCCCTCCATCTCTTTAACTTGCTCCGTTTCTCCATTTAATTAAAATATAAAATTATGTTGCTTAAGGGCTAGCTCCCTTCACAGATTGTAGGCTCCCTGAGGACAGGCCAGTGTCTGTCTCCCTCTCAGATGTATGCTTAGGGCCGATCACGGGACTTGGCACATAGTAGGTGCTCAACAAATATGTTAAACATTTATGAATAGTCATGAGAATAATATTTATGCTACAAGTTTCCCCAAAGAATTTCAATTAATCCTCCAAGTTCCTCTAAACCCCCTGTCCGATAAAGTAGGAGGTGGAGCTAACAGCTCTAGGGAGAAACGGTTATGAGCAAAGAATTGGCGGGGAGAACTGTAAGGCGTTTTTCACCAGGTCACACAGCAGCCTGTGAATTTATGCTTCCTGGACCGATCATGGAACAGCTTGCAAACAAATTACTCGCAAACGAGCGAAGCCTATTTTTAAAGATCCCCATGCCGCGAAGCTCTAGGCGATGACATCAGAGAACCCCGGGTTTCCGCCCCGCCCACTCCGAGCCAAGCCCCTGCTCCTCGAAAACTACCAATCCCAGGAGGCACCGCCGCTCAGCGGACCAGGGCTCCACGCGCGGCCCGCCCCGACGCGCCGAGGCCGCCTCCTCTGGAATTAGGAAGACGCCCGAAGCCCGGCCCGCCACGCCGCCGGGACCCGCGCGGGGCCTGCCGGGACTTGTAGTCTCGGCGGGCTGGGAGCGCCGGCTTCGGAATCTCGGCCGCCGTCTGGGGGCTGAGGCGGCGCGGGCACGCGTGCGCAGTGTGCGGACGGGCCGTCGCGGGCGCCGCTCCGGCAGCTCGGTGGCTGTGGGAAGCCGGGGCCGCCGCGGCGCGGGTGCTGCGGGCCGAGGGCCGACGTGAAGTTGGGCGTGAGGAGCGCGGCCGCCGCGGGGCGCGGTGGGCGGGGCCGGGCTCTGGCAGCGCCGCGCCGGCTGAGGCGATCGGGGAGGCGGCCGCGCGTCCGCCGAGGAGCCGGCGGGCGCTGGTGAGTGCGGGGCGGCGGGCGGCGGGCGGCGCAGGGTCCCGGGCCGCCGCGCCGCCCCCGTGCGCGAGTGTCCGCCCCGCGCGGCCGCACCTGGGCGAGGCCGCGGCGCAGGCTCACCTGCGCGCGGGCTCCGGGGCGGCGGGAGGGGGCGGCGTCCTCCTCCCGCGACTCCTGTATTGTTTTCCTGACCTCAGTCCTCGGCGGCGGCCGGCGGCGGAGGGCGGGGAGGCCGGCGGCGGTCGCGGTGGCCGACGAGCTGGTCGCGGGGCTGCGCTGGGAAGGGCGGTCGCGCGCCGCTCCCGGACGCCCTGCGCCGGCCAGCTGTCCGGGGATTCCCGGCGGGCGACGCCGGTCGGGGTGGCGCGACTCCAGGACTGTGCCCACGGGGGCTCAGCCGCCCGGGGCATCGTTTTCTGCAGTCTTCACGCGCTTTCACTTTAGGGCTCCCCGAGTCAGCAGTGGACTCCGCCCTGGGCCACAGAATCACGCTTTCCCTTCGCACCTTCACGGTGCAGATGCCCGGTGCGCGAGGTGGAAGTGACTTGTCCAAGGTCACGCAGGTAGGACCCGGGAGGCGACCAGAGCCCAGGTCTTTAAACCTGGAGGCCAGGTGACAGCCGCAGCGCTTTGGGGAGGTCCTGAGCGGTTTTGTGGTTTATTTCAGATGCTTTCTAATGACCCTCCTGGATAGATCATCCGAGGGGAAAGTGTTGTCATAGTGAAAACGGTCTTGTTATTTATAGTGTTTACTGCCTTTGTTGAATTCTAGTTATGCTGAGTCCCCCGGCTGGGCACCTGCCCCGGGCTGGGCGCTCGATCGCTCTGTCGGGGGGCGAAGGGGGGTGGGGGTCTGCAGATCCAGATGGAGGTTTAAGGAAGAAATGTGCACGCAGGTTGTGCCCTTTTCCTCTTCTGGTTCACCTTCCAATCCTGTGACACTTCTTTTCTTACCTTGCGCTGGGCCGTTGTCAGTTTCAGCAAGACTTTCTTTGCTTTGATGAAGTCATCGCCCTTTGTGAATTAGTTTTCTAACTAGAAAATCTTATTTCCTGTGTGTTTAATGACTGGAACAAGCAGCGCAGTATGAGGTTTGTAACTATTGTCTCTTATCTTAGAAGTACTGATCAGGTCCGCTTTATTGCCCCGTCCCCCAAGCGCTGCGCTTACATACTTTCTGTGTTGGTTCAATGCTGTTGAAACGCTTTTGACAGCGAAATTTGGCTAAGCTTTAATAGGATTCAGAGAAAAACGGGAAAAAAAATCATTTAGTAAACCTCCATTTTCCTTCCCAATGTGAAAAATCTGAAGAACTGTTATTTCAAAAATAGTTAAGACTCATTCTTCCTAAAATGCCTATTGCTTCTCGTACTCCCAGTTTTTCATATTAATACACTTGTGGCAAAAAAAGATTTCGCCAAACATAGTAGGTTTAAATAGTCCTTATCTTGGCCAAATCTTCCCAAGGAAAATTACATGCTAGAATAATTATGTATTTAAACAAGAATGTTTAAGTTTAGCAGAATTTGGGTTAATGGTTAATTTATTTTATAGCGCCATAAACCCTAGAATGTTTCCATTGATGAATTTCTCTTGAATAGAGAGCCATATAGCAAAGGATATGGCTGTGAATTTGCTGTTTGTGGTAAGTAGTGGGTAACTTTTGTGACATTGAGAAGATGTGATTCACGTGTTGAAACTGCTCCCTATGGTACTTTGTCTTGCTAATTAGTAGTTTTATGGTTGCTTTGGGGAGGAGGGAAGTAGCAGGTTTGTATCTCTTTTATTCCCCAGTTTTAGCAATGTAGCAAAATAGGAAGGAGAGGTGATGTGTAAATTTGAGTTTGTCATAGACCAGGAGAGACAGTGAAACAGGATAAGTATACAATTGTTAGGAAACTGCCATGAGTTCATAAGCCGGAAGGACCTTTTTAGCAATGTGTAAGGACATTAAGAATAGCATTGGGTATTTTCTCTGAAGAGTCGCTGTGGGCAGCTCTCCCATGTTTGCTGTTAACATATAGGATATGACGATGTTGAAGACTCCTGGAAAAGTATCTGGAAACGATGGGAACATTTAATATTTTTATAGCGGCCTTTTTTCTAAAAATGTCTAATGCAGCTTAAAAAAAAAAAAAAAAAAAACAACCCCAGACTTAAAGCCTGAAAGTTCTTATGGTCATACTCTAAAACTTACGGTTATTTTGACTGATATTTTGTAACTCAGAATGAAATGTGTGAGATAACTTATTAGCAAATTTAAGTTAGACTTTGATTTTGAAATACTGCTTGATGTTAAGTAGTTTCCTTGTTTAAATCTGGCATTTAAGAATGGGAGAGATAAATCATTTTATGAATAGAGTATAGTAATTATTCAGATGTGGTAACAGTTAACCCTCTGCTTTTATGGGATCAAAAACTCCAAGTATCCTAGCAGTAACTGTCTCAGCCTTCAGCTTGAGCCATAGTAGTAGACGAGTATTCTCCACACGCTTGAGCATTTTACTTTTGTTAATATTAAATTTTGATTTTAAATTTCAAGTCGATTCTCTCATTTCTGACCTCCAGTAATATAGTAAAATGGCTTCAGTAGGAAATAAATATTAAAATTGAGTATTAAAGGTTTTGACCATTGTAAGTACACAGCATTTAGAAAGATACTGATATGATACCAGAAAAAGAATTCTTAGGGCAGAAACTTGGTGGTTTTCAATGCTTGCTTAGTTATTTTTAGAAACATAGAAATATGGGATGTTTTATTTAAAAATAAAAATTCCTGTTGCTCCTTATTTTGCAGTAGGACTCTTATGCTTAATGAGTAACATGAAACCATTGAGCTCTAAGTAATATTTTTCCTAATAGCCACTGTGTAATAAAGAATATGTGAGTTTATAATTCTAGAAGATGTTTAAGCAAACGTATTTGCTATTTATTTTGATAAACCTTTTTATTAGTTGAATTGCTTTGATTCAGGGAGATAGTGTTTTGGAGATTTTTATATCATAAGTTTTCTTTGAATTGGAAGTCTCTGTTGACCGTAAAAGAAAATTAGTGTCATGTAGGATGTTTTTTAGCATTTAAATAAGTCTGAAGGTCTTAAATATTTTTTCCTACCTAGAAACCTTACCATTGTCAGTGTGATAGTTTTATTTTCCAAAAAGTTGTGGTTTTATCCTTCCACACAGCCTAGCCTTTTCTAGTTTAACCATTGAACTCTGGATTCTGTATTCAGTGTAGCCTCTTCCTGAAGAAAGGACAATCACAGGCACTTAGAACTGGAAGCAGTCTCGAAGGACTTCTAATGTAGCATCTTACCCAGGACAGTAAATCCCCCGTGGGAATATTCGTGTCAGGTGTTTCCTTTCATTACTGAGGGCGGTAATGCTGTTCCATATGTTGTCGGGTTATTGAGCAGTCTGAACTTGGTGAAAACAAACAGATGACAGTTTTATTTTTCACTGTTTACTGCTTTCAGCTGTGATTTGTAGGATCTTCCTTTTCCAAACCCTCTCTCTCCACCTCATACTATGAACAGATGATAGTTTTTCCATCATTTACAGCCATTAAAACTCATCTGTCTGCTTCAGCAGTTTAAACCTTCAGTCTCCTGTTAATTTCAAGTCCCTCTCCTGTCTTACCCCAGCATCAGGCCACTTTGCGTGAAGTACTGGAAGTGGAGAGGGATTGTGGTATGCTCCCAAAATTCCTTTCTCTTTCCTCCTCTGGGATATTATTCCAAGTCAGGGACTTGTAAGAAGAAAAATGGAAAAAGACAAGTCTTCCCGGGTGCTGTTAAAGCCCTCTTTTGATTAACAGTGGCAGGCCATTCGGATCCGCTGGTAGAGGCATCCACACTGGAACTTCCGTGAGGTCGCACAGAGAGACTCCCCGCTGCATGTAGTTCCTGGATAAGACATTTGCTGTGGGCTCACCTTTTCCAGCCTACACACCACCCCCTGGTTCCTAGAAGTGTGTGGGGGTGAGGTGGGCTGGGGATCTCTTTTCTCTACAGCCAGACTTTTTGATAACAGCAAGACAGCTCGAGTCTAACCACCTTCTGCAGTTTTCATTTAATCCACTGGAAACTCACTTCCTTGTGAGGCCAAATGGTGCTGTGCCAGTTGCAAAAACCTGCCCCCTTTCCCTTTAGTGCCCTTCCATTTCTGTCTTTTTTCTTTTTCTTTCTTTCTTTCTTTCTTTCTTTCTTTCTTTCTTTCTTTCTGTCTGTCTTTCTGTCTTTCTCTCTTTCTCTCTTTCTCTCTTTCTCTCTTTCTCTCTTTCTCTCTTTCTGTCTGTCTGTCTTTCTCTCTCTCTTTCTTCCTTTCCCCTGCTTAAAGAGGTGCAGAGTCAGTCACGCAGTCTATTTGATAAGTAGGCATTGAACTGGAGAATGGGACGCCGGTTTCTCCTTGTAGGCACCTCTTGGTGAATGATTCTCTTAGAGGGCCCTTCCCCTGTTTCGGGGTGAATACCCTCTTCCTTTCCCCGTGTCCTCCCTAAAGACTTGGAAGGCTTCTAATTATCTCCCTCTCTGGTATCCCAACCACTTGCACTGAGTGATGCTAAGGTTAGGGTGTTGATTAGGGTGCCTGAGCCGCCCCTGTGTGTGTGTGGGGTGGGGAGAAGGGTGTCAGTGTTGGGCTCCCCAGGTGTTGACATCTTTGTATCCTCAGCCTTGTGTTTGTTAGCAAATTTGGGACAACAAAGTTAGTGTCACTCAACACCAGTTAACAAAAAATTGTGAAGCCCTGTGGGCCTGATGAGGTCTCACTGCAGAATTTAATTTTTTCTTTTCTTTCCTTTTTTCTTTTCTTTTTTTTTTTTTCTTTCTTTCTTTCTTCACTCCTCTCTCTGATTTTTCTCGTTTTTACTTTTTGGCTTACTTCCTGGTTCTTGACTGATAAAGTTTTTTTTTTTTTTTAAGTATTTTTATTTATTTCTAGGAGAGAGAGAGAGAGACAGCGTGAGCAGGGGAGGGTCAGAGAGAGAGGGAGACACAGACTCTGAAACAGGCTCCAGGCTCCGAGCTGGCAGTCAGCACAGAGCCCGAAGCAGGGCTCGAACCCACGAACCGTGAGATCATGACCTAAGCGAAAGTCGGACGCTTAACCGACTAAGCCACCCAGGCGCCCCTTGACTGATAAAGTATTAACTGTGAATATGTTTGTGACTGATTATATGGTCAAACTATACCTTAGACTGAAGGATACATTTGGGGGGGCAGGTTTTAATACAAGTTTCTCTGTTCTTGCCTCGTTCTAGCTTTACTAAAGATATAAATACAAATAGAAATACAGAATTTGAACCTTTTTCTTTCCATCATCTAAGCAGACAAGTCATTTAAATCTACTGATTTCTTGTTAAATGAGGAAAAACCAGCTTTCTATCCAGAAACTTAAATGTTAATATTCATTGCAACAACATGGATCTAGAGGGTGTTATGCTAAGTAAAACAAGTCAGAGAAAGACAGATACCATGTGATTTCACTCATTTGTGGAATTTAAGATACAAAATAAATGAACAAAGAAAAAGAGACAAACACCCCTCCCCCCCAAGGCTCTT